TATTGGACTAATGTCCTTCATGTTTGCATATGGTCAGGACATGATGCTATACCAGTGCAAAATGCTCGCATGTAATAAATTTAATTTATTTGTGCTGCAAACTGACTGGAGGTGTTATTTAATTTTATCACAAAGTTTGGCTAATATCTCTGACACCTTTTTAAATCACCGCTGCACTTCGAGTACAGTTGTATTACAAATGCATATAGAAATGTCCTGCAGCTAAAAGTCTCAAAGAGGAATTGAAATGAGTTCTATGCTCCTTCGTATTTCGTTTGCTGATTTTAATTACTAATGCAAATATGTGTGCTAAATCTTTTCTGTGTAGATTTCCATGAAATTGATTTAAATTATTATTGTCTATTTAAATGGGCGGTTTTGGTGTAGGTGTGATAAATGTGGTTTTGAGTTATTGATATGTGAACTAAATCTTAGATTACTTTTGAAGCAGTTTTAAAGTATTCTGGATAGAATATCACTTAAATGAAATTAAAATTAATATTATAATAATTAATTGAAAACATTAATAAGAACATTAATTGGTCTATTGACAGGTCACTGTCTGGTCGCGTCACATACGCATAAACTAAACCTAATTCACAGGAATTAGGACCAACTAGTTGCAGGATATGCAACTAGCCGGATGCAAAGAAAAGTCTAAAGCACCTGGTGTGTTACTGTCAAAGTCTTTTAATAGTCGTTAGCAAATACCTAGATGAGACTATTTGTCTGTAGTTTTGTAGATTTATCTTTATGAAATCATATTTAGTGGCTATAATCTATATCGCAATCTTCCTCCTAGTTTGTAAACTCCTCCAGTTTTTCGTATCATCTGCTTGAGCTTCAGATTATATTTAATAAGATAAGTATTATCGTTATCTCTAACTGGTTCAAATATTTTTCTAAAAATTTTGCACATAAATGGTTTCCTCATATATAAAAATGGTTTCTAAAAATCTGGTTTCTTTTGATATAAGTAACCATATAGTCAAGTGTTACCAGAAGTGTGGGGTCCACAAAGCAAGCAGAAAAATTAGAAAAGGTGGAACGTATTACAGAAGTTTTATTAAAGTCTAGTAAACCGAATCTACAGAATAAAAACATTAATACATAAGGGCCCTTTAGACATCAACGCTCGTTGTCAACGCGCGCTTGCCATTACACAAACAATTTTTTAAAAATTTTTTAAACACGCCCCAGATAAAACAACAAATATACTAAAAAATCGCTCTCACATGAGAATTTTTTTCTCCTACTTTTCTCCTACTTTGTGAAATGCGAAATTTGTTTGTGTAATAGTAACATTTGAAATTTTAAGAAATGTGTTGACGAAAATCAAAAAATTTTGATATTTCTTCAAACACGCTCGTGTTTTTGCATATACAGTCGGATTTGGTCGGCATGCAAAATTTTATTTATTTTGAGAAATGGAAGCGTAAACATCGTTTAAATGCACGCATGATTTGTCGCTAGAATGCGATGCTTTGCAAATATGAATGAATTT